TTCGACTTCGAGTTAAGGCACAAAAAGGGTTGTTATAATCGAGTTGCTGATGCATGGTCTCCCCACCCTGAGTACATGACTTGCCTTGTGAATTCCTACAACCTCCAAAAGAAACTGAAGGAGGAGCTCGTAGAGCACACTGCCAAGGATCCGAACCTTAGTCCCATCCTTGAGCAGTTGCGGGTTGATCCCAACAGTCATCCTGATTTTCACGAGTATGGAGGACTGGTTTTTCGTCGCTACGGAAACCACGACCGTTTGTGTGTGCCCAACCATAAGCCTCTCCGCACACACTTTCTCGACTTGGCTCATGACCGGAGTGGACACTTCGGCATGACAAAGACATACGGAAACCTATTGAGACAATTTGGTTGGACTGGCATGAAGGGATCTGCTGAAAAGTTTGTGGCTGAATGTCAAGTCTGTCAACGAATCAAACCATGTAGACAAAAGCCAATGAGCCTACTTACACCCCTTCCCATTCCCGATGGTCTCGGGGAGTCTGTCTCTATCGACTTCACCAACATGGGAAAGGTAAGTAAGAACGGCTACTCACAAGTCATGGTGATTGTTGACCGCTTCTCTAAATTTCTTAATCTGATTCCTTTGCCATCTCATGCTCCAACTGAATTGGTGATCCGTGAGTTCAAACAGAAGTACATTCTGCAGTTCGGAACCCCGAAAACTCTCGTGAGTGATCGGGACCCGCGCTTCATCAGTACTGAATGGAAAGACTTCAAGTCCCAACTCCATGGCCTCAAGCTATGCATGGCATCTGGCCGACACCCCGAAGCCAACGGTTTGGCTGAGGAAATCACCCAGACTGTGTTCCAACTTCTCCGCGCTTTAATCATTCCGGATCAGGAAACATGGGATGAAGAGCTGTATTCTGTCAGGGGGTTGTACAACAACTCCATCCACTCTGCCACCGGCATGACACCAAACAGGCTGCATTATTCGTAATCCGCTCTCCTACCTATTCCCTGAGCAGCCAGCTGGTTTAACACCCGACAGGCCTGGCTTCAGGGCCAAGTACGATCGCTTGCTCAAAGTTGCCATGGCAGCAATGACCAAGCGACAGCACACCATGATCCATCATGCAAACTGAAGCGCCAACCTTCAGATATTGAGGTGGGAAGTTATGTCGGGGTCAAGATGTCTGAATTTTCAGAAGAAGAGGGAGTCTCAGGTAAACTTCTCCCACTCTATTATGGTCCGTGGGAAGTTCCGGATGTGATTGGTAAAGATAGCTTTGGCCCTTCATACGTAGTTGCTGTGCCACCTCATCTGCGCACATATCCCGTGTTTCATGCATCAAAACTGTTTCTCCACCGTGATGCTAAGTCGTTCGATTATCGTGAAGACATGATTCCTCGTGCAATCAATGGCAGACATGAGATAGACAGAATTAAACAGCATGTAGGGAAGGGACGCAACAGACAGTACCATGTTCATTTCATGTACCACCCGTTGGATGATCTATACTGGATTTCCAAGCAGGAACTGCTGCGCAGTGCACCATGCGTTGTTAAAGCCTACGAGTGACAAATCGCCTCTAATGATGCACCTAATGATGCACCTAAAATCTCTGCCAAGCTCACTGCGACAGAGTATTCTTGAAATCGCTTTGCCTTGTTTGCCTACGATGCATTTGTCGAGGACTCGGAATGAGTTACTCGCTCGAAGGGACCTCGCTCTTGAGGGGCGAGCAGTGTGATGACCCGACCAAATATGGACTGAAACAGACGGCTGATTTCTGAGTTTTGCTCATGGGCTGAATGCCTTGCTGAGTTTTCCGCTTGCTACTAAGTCTGTGTGTGTGCACGCTTGCTGGACTGCATGCCTGTCTGAGTGCTGGTTGGTTTGAGTGTGTGTGTGGCCCGTAAGGGCACTTGTTCGTTCGTTGGGCCCTCAGGGCCGGTACTTACCGTGGCCGTGGCATTGAGGATTGCAGGGGGGGAAAACACTCAAGTGGCGGAGAAAGAGGCCCGCAGCACTTGAAGGAGCGGGGAAACACTCAAGTAGCAGGTAGGCCGGTACCACACCCTGAAGCGGTAGATGTGCCGGGTACTGGAGGCCGAGCAGAAGAAGACAAAAGTGGCATTTTTAGAGGCCCAGTAGTTGTAGGCTAGGTCTGGGCGGGTACTAGTCTGAGTCTAGGGCCTGTACGGGCAATATCAGAGTCTGCAATGATGTTTCCCTTCGAAAGGGAGGAGGTACCGGTTGCTTGGGAGGCCGAGCGGCCTGGAAGTCACCGCTCGAGAGGCAAGCAGGCCGCTATATCTCCAGGCAGGGCGAAGGGCCCAGCCTCATTGTTGGTGTGCCAGTTTGGCGACACACTGGTTGGAGCGCTGGCTGGAGCAGCGCTGCTGGGGAAGAAGCGAGGACTTGGAGGAGGAAGAAGGACAGGAAGGGGGAGGAGCGCCAGAGGTACTTACCTGGCTATGGTGGCAGCCATCTTCGTGACCTTGGTGGGCGCTGCAGCAGGAAGGCCCCAGCTGGGGTTGAGCCACACCAAGAAGCTTCGAGGCAGAGTCAGGCATGGCGGCCTGAGCCAGCTGCTTTGGGTTGTACTTTGGGCATCTGGGCAAGGCCTAGTAGTCCTCCATAGCCTCGGCCTATGAGAGTGAAGAGTGAGGGAGGCGGCCATGGCTATGGTGGACCTCAAGTGATACTAGCAGTAGAAGAGGGATTCGGACATTGATCCTGGTTCAGCCATTCAACATTCGTATTATTATTTCTTGTGTGAATAAGAGAGGAGGAGATAAGGAGGAAGAGAGTGTTGGGCGAAGAAGAAGAGCTTTGTGATTTGTCTATGCTGGTGTACATCATCTTCTTCTTCTTTCTTACTTCTTCTTCTTCTTCTAATCTTCTCTCTCCTCTCAAGTTCATTTATTTCTTTCTGCAATTGGACGGCATTGTACTATCTGATGAATGTGTACCTCGAAATTGGCCAGGATCATAACAGAATCATTGATTGATACATTGATTGATTGATTGATTGATTGATTGATTGATTGATTGATTGATTGATTGATTTCCAAACAGAAAAATGTGGGGGGAGGTTATACAACCCTCCTCGGCCTCCTCCTCCTCCCCTCCCTCCTCCTCCCTTGTTCTTCGCCTTCCTCCTCCTCCTGCTCCTCCACCATTTCCTCGTCCTCCCTTCTTCTTCGCCTTCCTTCTCCTCCCTCCTCCTCCTCCTCCCTCCTACTCCTCCTCTCCTCCTCCACCACCTCCTCGTCCTCCCTTCTTCTTCGCCTTCTTCGCCACGTCAACCAATCAATGAACATGGGCATGGAGGCGGAGGAGGAAGAGGAGGACGAGGGGGACGAAAAGGACGTGGATGATGATGATGAGGAGGAGGAGGAGGAGGAGGAGGAGGAGGAGGGGAAGGAGGGCGACGACAAAGAACCAGAGGACTAGGAGGACAAGGACGAGAAGGAGGGGGAAGAAGGAGGAGGAGGAGGAGCGGACGAGACCATCGATTCCGATGGATCTTGATTGATTCAAGATCTTTTCGGATCGCGCGATTCGGGGGGATCTTGAATCAATCAAGATCCATTGGAATTGATGGTCTCGATTGATTGATTGATTGGCTGATTGTCAGCGTTTGTTCACTTCGGTGGGATCTTGAATCAATCAAGATCCATCAAAATTGATGGTCTTGTTTGATTGATTGGTTGATTGATTCATCGATTGTAAGCGATTGATAAAAAAAAAAAAAAGGAGGAAGGGCAGGGGGAGGGGAGACGGGCACGTCGACGTCCGTGGCGAGAAGGCGGGATGGTCGAGGAGGAGGAGGAGGAGGAGGAGGAGGAAGAGGAGGAAGAGGAGGAGGCAGAGGTGGAGGAGGAGGAGGAGGAGGTTGCGGTGGAGGAGGAGGAAGAAGAGGAGGAGGAGGAGGGGGAGGTCGAGGAGAATGTGGACATGGAGGAAGGAAGCGGAGGAAGAGGAGCAGGAGGAGGAGGAGGAAGAGGAGGAGGTGTAGAAGGAGGAGGAGGAACGAGGAGGAAGTAGAGGAAAGGATGTCGGCGATGGAGGAGTAGGAGGAGGTGGACGAGGAGGAGGTGGAGGAGGAAGAGGAGGAGGAGGAAGAAGAGGAGTAGGAGTAGGAGTAGGAGGAGGAGGAGGACGCAGAGGAAGGAAGAGGAGAAGGAGGAGGAGGAGAACGAGGAGGAGGGGGAATAGGAAGGAAGAGGAGGAGGAGGAGGACGAGGAAGAGGAGGAAGAGGAGGATGGGGAGGAATCGATGGTCTACGAGTAGTAGTAGTAGGAGGAGGAGGACGAGGAGGAGGTGGAGGAGGAGGAGGAGGAGGACTCACCTGGTGCGGTCGGGCGATGACGATTGGGGTGCTGGTGACCGCCTCGGAGTTCGGCAACTGCAAGGCTGAACTCCGTCGAGAGGGGCGGGGCAAAGTCCGTCGGGGGGATGGCAGTTTCCCCGCCCATTTTCGAATTTTAAAATGGTCCAATCTGGGCCGTCGATCCGCTTGATCTGATGGCCCAGATTGGGCCGCTTCGAATTTTCAAGGCCCTCCTGGCCTTGCTTTCTTTTTCCCACTGCCCCCCCCGCTTCGGGTGCAGTGCAGGGGACCCCCCAGCGCCTGAAACAGACCAAACCCGACCCCCCCCTAGTTTTTTAACAAGTCGGACGTCCCACCCCCCCCAAGCGGACGGTCGGACCTGTTGTCCGATCAGACATCGCGGATGGTCAGGGGGGGTTTGGACGTTCGGTAGAACTAGTTTTTTTTTTCAGTTTTTTTTTTTTTTTTTTTTTTTTGGCTGGTACCTTCTATGGTCCTTGCACGGCCGGGCAGCCCGGGCAAACAAGGTGACCCGGGCGGCCTGGCTAGTAGCCTAGTTTTGAAGTGCTTGAAAGTTCAAGTGTGATGCCAGCTGTTTAGTTTCACAACTTTAGTTGCTTAAAAAAAAAAGAGAAAAAAAAGAAAAATGGTTAATCTTTGCTTATGATGCCTCTGGTGCAATTTGCCGAGCAGGTCTTTGCATGGACTCCTGCAGAAGCGGCAGTGCATTTCTGTGGTCCCCACCTATTCTCTGAAACGCAGGTGAGCGTCTACAAAAAAAGAATTGAAAAGTTGCTCTTCCTGGTCTGTTTTCCTTCTCCTCGGAGCCGTTGAGGTTGCTTCATATCTGCTTTTTCTTTTGCCTTTTATCTGAAGTGATTGACCTCTTACATTCTTGTATTCATCTGATTCCATGAGGATTCAAACTTGTGTTCTTAAATTTACTGATACTGTTGCATCAACTTTTTTTGGAAAAGGTTGACGGCCTTTAGATATCATCATGGAATTGACTGCCCCCAGGCAATTCAGAATGATTATATTCTCTTATCTGAATGTATCTGGATTCGAACTTGAGTCTGTAATACTCTGTATCTCAACAATTCACGGGTGTATCAACTGAGCTAGTTCCGTTGGTATCGTTGCATCAACTTACAGTTGTGCGTACATACAATTCAGCTAGATGGACCAGGTGTAAACCGCCGCGCCAGTACTCGGCCCCAGCCTTGCAGAGAAAAAATATGTAACCTACTCCGATAAAACTTCACACCTCAGGCCAACTGGACCACAATGGCTGGCGGCGCAGAAAAGCCACCAGTAAAGCTTGGCGCGCAAAAAAGAAAAGAAGTGCGCCGTTGGCGGTTCGGAAAAGCTTGGCACGCAGTGGAGCGCCTCGAGACTCGGGTGTACTGGTGGCTTGAACTTGCATTTCTTAAACCACCAGTACATCCAGCTATCAGTTGTGGTCCCTTTCCGGAGGCTGCCCGCCGCTGATTGGATTTATCTACGGCTCCGGGCCTCCGAAAATTTCATAGGCGACGGGTTTTCTTTTCAGCAAGGCTGGGGCGGTGTATTGGTCGTTTAACATAATTCGATCAACAGATGGATCTAAGAGAGAGTTGATTGCTCGTGAACAGTACGATAGCCGACCGATATCTATCTGCCACTTCTGTGGTGTCTATCCCCCAGTGTTGTGGTACTATAGCCAGTGCCTATCTGCTAGTGCTATTGTACTAAAGCCAGTGTCTATCTCCTGGTGCTATGGTACAATAGGCAGTGTCTATTGGCTGCCGCTGTGGTACTATAGCCAGCCTCTATCGGCCGGTTCTGTGGTACCATACCCAGTGTCTATCCGCTGGTGCTGTGGTGGTACTATAGCCAGTGTCTATTGGTCGCTGCTGTGGTACTATACTATAGCCAGGGTCTATCTGTCGGCCCTGTTGTACTGTACTATAACCCGTGTCTATCTGCCGGTGCAGAGGTACTATAGCCGGTGTCTATCTGCCTATGCTGTGTTACTATTGGACTGACATTTAGAGAATTTTAGACCCTTGTAGAGATCTACAACCCAAAGTAGGCAGCAAGGAGTGCATTTTTTTCATTTCCCCTTTTTCTTCCCCTCCCCACCCCGCCCCCCCCCCACAACCTTTTTTGGGTGGTGGTTTGAATGTGCTGCATCGCAGGGATGTGCTCCGTGGCCCAAAATTTCTGTACTATTGGACTGACGTTTAGACCCTGTTTGTTCCACCGTTTCTTTTCTTTTCTGTTCTGTTCTGTTTTTTTTTTTTTGTGTGTGTGTGTTGGTTGTCTGATTGTGTTGCATTGATGGCCGGGATCGGGATTGGGCTCAGTGGCGCACAATTGTCGACGCTCTCGGTGCCCATCCGCGACATCTTTCAGAATTGTACTCAATGTGGCAGCAATCACACCTGCGGTAAGTCCTCCTTTCCTCGGACAACGTGCTGTTGAGGATGTTGACCGATTGACGGCCACGGGAGCAACACCCTACAGAGAGGTCAGCTGCATGTGGTCGGGATTGTCGACCAGCATCACTCTGTGACATTTGTCAAATGTTATTGTGCATATAAGGCTGGTGCTCCCCTGGCCAGCGATCAGGACAGATTCAGAAGCAGCTGCACATCGTCGCAGGCTGTGTTCCCCCTCCCCTCCAATCGCTGGCCCGCCATTGTCTCCAGCTCATGCCGTGTCATTTGGAATTTGGAAAGTCCTTGGCACATGGGAAAACGCCGTCCATTATCTAGCTGTGAACTATATGGTAACATTGTCTTCTTCTTCTTCTTCGTGTTCTTCGTCTTCTCCTTCTTCTTCTTCTTCTTCTTCTTCTTCTTCTTCTTCGTCTTCTTCTTCTTCTTCTTCTTCTTCTTCTTCTTCTTCTTCTTCTTCTTCTTCGTCTTTCTTCTTCTTCTTCTTCTTCTTCTTCTTCGTCTTCGTCTTCGTCTTCGTCTTCGTCTTCTTCTTCGTCTTCTTCTTCGTCTTCTTCTTCTTACTGCTGCTGCTGCTGCTGCTGCTGCTCCTGCTCCTACTGAAGAGAGCTTTTCCTCATCTGCTATTTTGTTTTTCTATGGATGGCATTGGATGCATGTTTATTGAAGGTGTGTGGATTATACATCTTCCTTTGCCGGGCACCATGATTCCCCATCCTCCGCCGCCCCCCCTCCTCTTGCTTTTGCTGGGATTGCATGAAAAATCCTTCATATTTGCATAAAATTTTGCACCCCCTTACCCTGTGCCCCCTTTTTTGTTTGCAGGGGGAGCCATGCCATGGAGGCAGCCCAATCATTTTGTCCTCTCTTCCAAGCACCTTTGAACTTTGCCAGGCCTACTTTAAACACTGCGCCTCGCTTCGGTACCGATCCTGACAGATCAGCACACTTGCTTTGGGAACCCCATGTGCTTTGGTACCACACTTGCTTTGGTACCGCACTTGCTTTGGGACCCCACTTACTCTGGTACCGATTCTAACCAGCATGAACCAGGAACACTTTGTTAATGACCAGGCCCTGATTTGTATGCCGGTCTCACTGACCATTGAGACCGTCGGTAGCCATGAAAGAGAGGAGACAGGTGGAGGGTGGTCTTTTTTTCTGTGGGGGGGTTGGGGGGGGGGGGGAGAGAGGAGGGTGTTCTTTGGAGGCTCAAGGAATGAGAGCGCGTTTTCTGTAAATAGGTTTCATCAACTATCGTGCTAACAGGGTGCTCCTTTGATATTGCAGGAATGCAGAGCTGGGTATCGAGCACTGTTTAGAAGAGTACCTGTTCTTCTTACAAGTGTGTGGTACATTCTGCCTCCCCTGGACACAGTCTTCTCCTTTTGTTTTTTAATTTGATGACGACATATATCGTCAAACACATATATCTTAAATTTTGAATTCACTAATAAATTATTAATTTATTAAATTGTTAATACATTATGAAAAGGGGTGTGGGATCTAATTACATACACACCCTTGGGCCTTCTGAAACGGTTTTCACCTTTTGCAGTAACAGACGCAGATCCCAGGGTTCGATCCCTAGACTTCACCCTACCCATGTACAGTATCTGTGTAGTCCCCGAGAGTTGAACCTGTGACTTGTGTAGTCGTAGACAGTTGGTAGGTCTGTCGTAGGTCCATAGGCAGCAGGGGTTCGGTCTGTAGATCTATAGAGTAGAAGTCTTAGCGAGTTCCAGAAGTCTAGCTGTAGTCCTTCTAGAAGGTCGGCTCCAGTCAGTCCCAGTCCGGTCCAGCAAGTACCACGGGGGACTGTGAGCACCATGGGCCGTTGGCAAAGGGCAGACCAACGAGTTTCCGAAGTATAAATCAAGAGGCAGCGCCCAGCCTTTCATTCATTCCTGCGTGAGCCATGCGGAAGCGCTGCCACAGCGACTTGTGCAAGGAGGTCTGCAGAGAGCCCGGAGCTGAAGTGGGCGAGAGAGAAGGAGCGTAGCATAGCGATAGGGTAGAGGCAGCCATAGCTGCCATAGCTGTAGTTTAGTGTGAAGTGTGTGTGTGTATGTGTGAGTGTTCAGAGTGACGCGTGTGGGATATCCAGGGTGATCCGATGTATGTGAACAGTGAGTTGTTTGGGCGCTGAGTCGCCATTTGAAAGTGAACTCGTATCTGGATGCCATATCTTTGAGTTTTGAGTGGGCGCATGTCGCCAGTTTGCTGTGCTGCTGTTTACATGCATGAAAAGTGTGAATGAGAACGAGTCTGATTGCACTTCACTGTGTCCAGTGGATTTCTTTTTCTTTTTCTTTTCGTTGAAGTCGAATTTTAAAAGTTTTTTCTTTGTGCGGGTGAAAAGGTGTTTTTTTCCCTGTAGAAAGATTGCTATGCCCGGCTTTGCGGCCGCACATCACGCCCAGGGGTGTGCCCAGGTCACCCGGGAGTGAAGAAAAGTCTGTGTAAAAGAGTCCAGGAACTTAAAGGGGTTGTAAAAGCCAACTCCTTTAAGTCCCTTAAGCCTCATTTACAGTATCGAGTTGACCCTTGCCGTAGTTGGCTTTTACACAGTATCGAGTTGACCCCTGAGTGTTTTACACTGAGTGTTTGAAACCCCTTTAAGTCCTTTAAGCCCCTTTAAGTTTTTTCTTTGTGTGGGTGAAAAGGTGTTTTTTTCCCTGTAGAAAGATCGCTATGCCCGGCTTTGCGGCCGCACATCACGCCCAGTGGTGTGCCCAGGTCACCCGGGAGTGTAGAAAAGTCTGTGTAAAAGAGTCCAGGAACTCTTTTTCGGCCGTAGTTGGCTTTTACACAGTATCGAGTTGACCCCTGAGTGTACAACCCCTTTAAGTCCCTTAAGCCTCATTTACAGTATCGAGTTGACCCCTGAGTGTTTGAACCCGCGACCTGTGTTTTGGGTAGTTGGCTGTTGTCTGTCGTAGGTCTGTGTAGTTGTAGGGGTTCGATCTGTAGGTCTGTCGAGTAGGGGTCATAGCTGTGTAGAGGTCCTATCTGTAGCATTTCTGAAAGGTCAAGGTCGTAGTTGCTACAGTCCTGAAAGGTCAAGGTTGTAGTTGCTACAGTCCCGAAAGGCCAAGGCTACAAGCTTCCGGAAGGTCCGGAAGTGGCCTTTCAAGAGTTCTCACGATTAGCCATAGGCAAGTGGGCAAGTGGTGAGTCCAACTTCGCTTAGTCGGCGGTCCCCAGTCCCAGTCTCACTTTGCACGGTCAGCAGGTACCATGAGGGACTGTGTGCACCATGCGCCCGGTGGAAAAGGGGCAGACCAACAACTTACAGAAGTATAAATCAAGAGGCAGTGCCCAGCCATTCATTCATTACTGCGTGAGGCATGCGGAAGCACTGCCCCGGCGTCTTGTGCGAGGTGGTCTGCAGGTCGCCCGAAGTCGAAGTGGAAGATAGCGTAGCCAGAGTCAGTAGTAGTTGAGCGGCCATAGCCGCTGTAGGTCGAAGATAGGCTTTAGTGTGTGAGTGTGTGATACAGTGAATGCGTGTGGTGTATTCAGGGTGATGCAAAGTGGAGTATGTGCGAACATTGGTGTTGGACACAGTGACAAGAGTTGGGATGTACAGGCGCTAATGCGCCATAGCTTGTTGAAGTGAGTTTACATCTGAACTGCGTTCTCGACATCCATATCTCTGAGCTTTGAGTGGGCGTTGGGCGAAAGTGTGAGTTGCCATCTGTTTGCATGTATGCGAAGCAAAGAAGAAAGTGAGTCTGAGTGCATTATGGTCCCGGCTGTATTTCCATTCTGGGGAGTATCAGTCTGGTTCCTATTCCACCGGCAAGTTAGGAAAATATTACATCATAGAACACCCACACGCTTCCTTCCGTCTGGCCGAAGGAACCCTGATCAGCATTGATTACTCCGGCGATGTGGAGGATTGACTGTCAGCTTGCCCTGCTTGCACCTTTCCTCTCAGGACAACTATAAGAACCTGTCAGATAAAACATGCAAAACAAGAAAGGTCTGAGAATCTACAACTGCTGCAATGCTGTCTAAACCCTAAGCCCCGCAAATAAGCCTCATGAAATCCTTAGCATTCTAGCTTCTGCTGTCTTATTTCTGTCCAAACCCTCAGCCCTAAACCCTAAACCCTAAACCCTAAAGAAGGTTAATCCTCTTCCATGTGTTCCCTGTGAAACATTGGCTGCCGCCTGTCGCGCATGTATCTTGGATGCTCTTCTACGCCCAGACTGGGGCTGGTTCCTCAAGTATCTGTGTGTTCTGCTAGAAGACCAACTTGACCAAAGTATGCCATTCTTTCCATCGTAAAACGTGCCCAGACAGCCATGCCACTTTGTCACCTACTAACGAGATCCGCTTGAATTTAGCAAGTGTCACCTGTTCTGTCTCTGGATTGTTCTGCACCCAGAGTTTAACCTTCCTCCAATGACAGAGGATTTCCGCTTCAATCATCTCTTTGGTTGCTGCCCACACTTTCTCCCGTGGGTTCTTCGTGCCGTCCAGAGTTCTGCTGCATCTTTCCTTCCATATGGCCCATAGTGTGACCTTGCGTATTATCCCGAACCATATTTTCTCTGACTTGCCGGAGTTAGAGGATAAATTAGTCCAAAGGAGCAGTTGAAGGGGGTGCTCCGGGAGGGGAGACGAGAGCAAACTATCCCATAGTGCTGCTGCTCTTGCCCAATAATCTGTGGCTTCTTTACAGTTAATTAGGCAATGTATCACGTCTTCCTGTTCTTGGTCTGAGCAGGCTGCACAGATATCAGAGCTGGTTGGATCGTTCTTTCTTCTTCTGACATGTAGCCATTGATTGACCGGTAGAGCAACATATGTTATGAGCCACTGCATGCTTCTGATTTTTATAGGTCTTATTGTTTTATGTTTTTTCCATGGGATTTTTGCTATCTGGTCTGCTTCCGAACCAATTAACTTGCTCCATCTTTGTTGGGTCTGGGTCCTTTGTTTTTAACAGCATCTTGTAACCCAGCTTGACTGTGTACTCATATATTGGAATTGGTGGTTTGGTGGTTCTAGTTCAGTCGGGGGGCCAAGCCCACTCCGAGGGATCAAACTCGAGGTCTTAAATTGCTGTCACTGCAGCAGTTTTCTATTTTCAGTTTTTTTTTTTTTTTTGCAAGTCCTGCTACTTCTGCTGCAGCAGCTGCACACACAGGTCAAAATTCAACCGGTGCCGGGTCCCCAAGTCAAGTCCCACAGTCCCAAATGCAACAGCACTCCAAGAAAGGTCGGGAAGGTACGGGCCTTAAAATTCCAAAAGTCAAACAGGGTGCGGCTGACCAGTTCCAGTCAAAGTCAAGCCCAGACCAAGTCAAGCAGAGGCCAAGTGAAGCAAAGGTCCCGTCCAAGTCAATATAAGGACTGGCTCACTTCCATTCAGACAGATTGTTCACTCGTGAGAAGGTGGAAGCGCTGCTGGCTGCTTGCGCGCTATCGCGAGTTGACTAAACGCTAGGAAGCCCTGCTGGGCAGCGCTAAGCTGTGGACGACAGGCCGCCATAGCCGCTGCTGTAGAAGTAGAGTACAGGTAGGAAGGCGGATGTCTCCAGGGTTATGATCCTCGTAGTAGAGAAGGCAGAGAGAGCTCACGAGAGAGAGGCACAGCGCAAGGCCGTGTGATACAAGCGCTGAGAGAGAGAGAGAGAGAGAGAGAGAGAGAGAGAGAGAGAGAGAGAGAGAGAGAGAGAGAGAGAGAGAGAGAGAGAGAGAGAGAGAGA